GTGTAACAGCAGAGGTCTCACTCCAAATCAGTCGAGCGGCAATATCTTTTCATCGGTTGCGTAACGCTGTGTGGAAGCTACCTGGTCTGTCGCTTCGCACTAAGCTTCAGGTCTTCTCGGCGACGGTCATTCCCTCCCTTCTCTACGCTTGCGAAACGTGGACCCCCTAATGGAACATCTTCGCCGGATAGAAACATTTCGGCTGGCCTGCCTATGAACCATCCTGGGTTTACCCAGACTGGATTGTGTGAGGAGCTCACAAATCCTTGAAAGATCTGGGCAAGGTCCCATCGGTGAGCTCCTCCAGCGGGCAAGGCTGCGTTGGCTGGGTCATGTAGCCCGCATGCCCAGCCACCGCATGCCGAAACAGCTTTTGTTCGGCCGGATCGAGGGGGCTAAACGGGCGCGGCACGGGCTAGAGAAGAGATGGAGTGACGTGGTACAGGAGGACGTGGAGCTGAGTGGACTTGCCAATGACTGGTACCAGCGGTGTCAAGATCGGCCTTTGTGGAGGAGGCTCGTGAAGGATGCTACTGGGCAGTTGGAGGCAGTCGCCCTCCAACAACAACGGAGGGCGGAGGAGCGACGCTCACAACAACGAGCGGAGCGCCGGGTGGCTAAAGCACAGCAGGATGGCACAGTAGGGGGCACAGGTGGTGCATCAGCCAGTCATCTCAGTCATCTTAGTCAGTCGACCCGTGGCACCTGGGTCTGCTCCGTGACCTCCTGCCAGGGGGCGTTCGACACATCACGTGGCCTCAAGGTGCACATGGCCTGGCACAAGCGTCGTGGTGACGTCACCGCCACTTAGTGGCGAATGGCGGTTGTTGTTGTTGTGGGGGGAGCGGTGGGTGTAGTGGTTAGCGCGCCGCGCTACGAACCCGGCGACCCGAGTTCGATTCCCGCTCATGGCCACCACCGGTGACGATTATTTTAACCACTCCTGTGCCTCCCCTAGGTCGACTCAGCCTCAAATGAGTAACTGCTGTGGTGTGTGAACATCGCCAACTAGGGAGACAAAGGCGGCCGGGCGTGGCGCATCCAAGTCCCGGGCGAAGCCGGGTAGTACAGCTCGTACTGTACCTAATAAATGAAACTTTAAAACTTGAAACGGTGGGCGACATGTGACGTCATAACGACACGCGCGCACAACACGCGGGCGCGACGTCATAATAACGCAGGCGCGACATCATAACGCAGGGGGACGTCATAACGACACTCAAAAACGCGGCGTGACGTCATTACTATTCGCACGGGGTTGATGACGTTGTACCTACATACTCTTTGGGTTTTTCGGTAGAGTAACGGAGATAAAAAAATCAAATAACAAATAAAATTAATAAAACTTAATACAAACAGTAAATTCTAACTGCGTCACTTCACCGAAAAAAAACGAGAATATCTACTGGCCGTTTTAGACATCTACCGGCGGCGGTAGACATCTACCGGCGGTGGTAGATATCTACCGGCAATAGTATAAATCTACCGGTAGCAGTAGATCTCTTCCGGTAGCGGTAAACATCTTCCGGTAGCGGTAGAAAAGTAGTGTTTCGTCTACCGGTAGTGGTAGACCCCTTCCGGTAGCGGTAGACAAGTAGTGGTCGGCTACCGGTAGCGGTAGACATTCTAGATTTTAAGCTTTCGTGACTGCTAGGATCCATACTCTTTGGTTCTATTGGGTAAAGTCACGTAGGTGAAAATAAAATAACAAAAAATCACGACGTTTCGGCCACAACACAAGCGGCCTTCATCAGGTGAAGGGACGAGACTGTCTGGAGGACAGCGCTGGAGTGGGAGAAGCCACGCTTAGATCACGACCTTTAAGCTGTGTGAGAAGAAAAACACAAAGCGCCTTGACAAAGGAATTAGCATTGAATTTAGCATTGAAATGGCTCATTTAAATGGCTAAGTTAAAGTATACACATCCGCAGAGGTACCCCTTGACAAAGGAATTAGCGCTGGAGTGGAAGAAGCCACGCTTAGATCACGACCTTTAAGCTGTCTGAGAAGAAAAAGGCCAAGTGCCTTGACAAAGGAATTAGCATATAATTTAGCATTGAAATGGCTCATTGAAATAGCTAAGTTAAAGTATACACATTCGCAGAGGTACCCCTTGACAAAGGAATTAGCATAGAATTTAGCATTGAAATAGCTGAGTGATTAGCTTGTAACTGGTCACAGAAATAGCTATGTTAAATTTCCATTTAAAGCTTTCGTGACTGCAATGATTCATCTTCTTTGGTTCTTTCGGTAAAGTCACGTAGAATGAGAATAAAATAATAAATTGATAAAATAAAATAACACAATAACATTCTCACGACGTTTCGGCCACAACACAAGCGGCCTTCATCAGGTGAAGGGGCGAGACTGTCTGGTAGGACAGCGCTGGAGTGATCTGAACGTGGCTCTTTCACTCCAGCGCTGTCCTACCAGACAGTCTCGCCCCTTCACCTGATGAAGGCCGCTTGTGTTGTGGCCGAAACGTCGTGAGAATATTATTGTGTTATTTTATTTTATCAATTTATTATTTTATTCTCATTCTACGTGACTTTACCGAAAGAACCAAAGAAGCTATGTTAAAGTTAGAGCATATACATTCACCGAGGCACCTAGTACTCATCAAACAGGAGAATTTAGCGAAACACAACCACGCTCAGACAGCGGACCTTTAAACTGTGTGCGAGCAAACAAGGTCTTCTGACAAAGAAATTAGCATAAAAATTAGCATTTGATTGGCGGATTTTAGGAAAGAGGTGGTGTACGTGCCGGTGGACTTGCCGTTTGGCGCGGAGGGGAAGGGGGGGGGAGGGGGAGTTTACCTATTGATGGTGTGAAAAGGGAATTTATAAGAGCTGCGAAAGTTTGGGGTACCACTACTTGAAAAATATACTGTACCATTGAAATTAGTTTAATGTTTAGTTCGATTTAGAACATATTTCCAATGGTTGCTTAATTTGAAATCATCCTCTCGGTTGAAATTGTGTCTGTGTTTGTAGATCTGAATTGCTTCATGAACAAATCTCTGATAAAAGCCCGTGGGTTTGCAAAAAACCTTGGTATCGGAGAAAATTATATCGTGACCCCCCACAGCTTTGTAACAGTGATCAGCCACGGCAGAAGAATTCGTTTTGCCGTGTTTCAAATCTGATTTGTGCTCGCGAATTCGGTCAGAGATATGTCACTTTATCTCACCGATATAGCAATCACCACAGGTACAACTCAATTTGTAACCCCCGGGGTACTGTAAATCAGGAATGACATCCTTCACTAATGGGATCAGATCACGAATTTTGTGTACTGTATTGAACCGGACCTGGATCTTGTGTTTGTTTAGAATTTTGGAAATCTTTTTAGTAACGCCTGCTATATATGGTAGTGTGATGGTTTTGACCGGAGTATCAAGTGGTTGTTTCTGTATGGAGGGAGAGACAGCTTGGCGGATGGTACGGTCAGAGTAACCATTCCTTTTGAGGGTCAGGTGTACATGTTTTAATTCACTGGTCAGGTGGTGTTGGTGCGAAATGCAATGAGCCCTATGGTATAAAGTTTTGATGAGAGAATTCTTTTGGGCTGGGTGGTGGTGGGAATCAGGTTTCAAGTAGGAATCTGTGTGGGTGGGTTTCCTGTAGACAGAATGCCCCAATGAGCCATCAGGTCTCCTCTCAAACAGAACATCTAATAATGGTAGCTTGCCATCTTTCTCCACTTCCATGGTGAATTTGATGGCGGGATGTCTGGAATTGATGTGGTGTAGGAAAAGGTTCATAGCTGGGAGGCCATGTGGCCAAATGACGAAAGTGTCATCCACATATCTCTTCCACAGGGAAGGTCTGAGGGTGGAAGTCTGGATGGCGTCTGATTCAAATTTCTCTATGAAAATATTGGCTATCACTGGTGATAAGGGAGAACCCATGGGGGTGCCCTCATTTTGTTTGTAGAAGGAGCCATTCCAAGTAAAGTAGGTATTGTTGAGGCAGTGCCTAACCAGTGCAGGTGTGTCGGGGTCTAGTCCATGTTGGACCAAATTTTCAATTATTTCAATAGTATCAGGTACTGGGACCTTGGTGAACAAAGAGACCACTTCGAAGCTGACAAAGATATCGTCAGGGGACAGTACAACGTCTTTGACCATAGAGACCAATTGGGCTGAGTTAAGTACTGCTGAGGCGTTCTTGCCAGTGAAAGGCAGCAAGGTATCTGACAGAAAACGGGCTAGTCTATAGGTAGGGGAGTTGATCGTGGATACGATGGGTCGAAGTGGGGTGCCTTCTTTATGAATCTTGGGAAGACCATAGAATCTAGGGGGTCTTGCAGCAGATGGTTTTAGGGAGGGACGTTTAGTTGGGTCGATTAGGGAGGTCGAACTTGTGATGATCTTGTTGGTTTTTATCGCTAGGCTATTAGTAGGGTCATTTTTTATTTTTGAGTAACTTCTATCGTTGACTAGATTCTAGACATCTTCCGGTAGCGGTAGACATCTTCCGGTAGCGGTAGACAAGTAGTGGTCGACTACCGGTAGCGGTAGACATCTTCCTGTAGCGGTAGAGATCTTCCGGTAGCGGCAGACCACCGCCGAGGTCTGTGCGTGGCGAGGTGGCAGGCGAGACTCGTGGTGACTCCGACTGTCGCCATCTCTCTCAGCTCGTCTCCCTCTCACCTCGTCTCTCTCTCTCACCTCGTCTCTCTTACCTCACCTCGTCTCTCTTATCTCTCTCCTCGTCTCTCACCTCGTCTATCTCTATCTCACGTCTCTCTCACCTCACCTCGTCTCTCTCATCTCGTCTCTCTCATCTCGTCTATCTCATCTCGTCTCTCTCTTATCTCTATCTCACCTCGTCTCTCTCACCTCACCTCGTCTCTATCTCACCTCGTCTCTCTCTCATCTCTATCTGACCTCGTCTCTCTCATCTCTATCTCACCTCGTCTCTCTCTCCTCGTCTCTCTCTTACCTCTCTCTCACCTCGTCTCTCTCGCCTCGTCTCTCTCTTATCTCTATCTCACCTCGTCTCTCTCTCTTATCGTTTCTCACCTCGTCACTCTCACCTCGTCTCTCTCGCCTCGTCTCTCTCTCTCATCTATCGCTCCCAACGCTCTCCTCTCACCGCTCCCAAGCGAGGTAAGCGCGAGAGAGTGTGAGAGTGAGGGAGTGTGTGAGTGTGAGGGAGAGAGAGTGTGAGGGTGAGTGTGAGGGTGTGAGGGAGTGTGTGAGTGTGAGGGAGAGAGAGTGTGAGTGTGAGGGTGAGTGTGAGGGAGTGTGTGAGTGTGAGGGAGTGTGAGAGAATGTGAGAGTGCAAGAATGTGAGAGAGTGTAAGAGTGTGAGGGAGAGTGAGGGAGTGTGAGGGAGAGTGTGAGGGAGTGAGTGTGTGAGAGTGTGAGGGAGTGTGAGTGAGTGTGAGGGAGTGTGTGAGTGTGAGGGAGAGTGAGTGTGAGAGAGTGTGAGGGAGTGTGTGAGTGTGAGGGAGTGTGTGAGTGTGAGGGAGTGTGTGAGGGAGAGTGAGTGTGAGAGAGTGTGAGAGAGAGAATGTGAGGGAGTGAGTGTGTGAGGGAGTGTGTGAGAGAGAGTGTGAGAGTGTGAGAGAGTGTGAGAGTGTATGAGAGTGTGTGTGAGGGAGTGTGAGTGAGTGGGAGAGTGTGAGTGAGTGTGTGAGAGAGTGTGAGAGAGAGTGTGAGAGAGAGTGAGTGTGAGGGAGTGTGAGTGAGTGGGAGAGTATGAGGGAGTGTGAGATAGTGTGAGAGTGTGTAAGTGTGAGGGAGTGTGAGTGTGAGGGAGTGTGAGTGAGTGGGAGAGTGACTGTGTGAGAGTGTGAGGGAGTGTGTGTGAGAGTATGAGGGAGTGTGAGTGAGTGTGAGGGAGTGTGAGAGAGTGTGAGAGTGTGTGAGTGTGAGTGAGTGGGAGAGTGACTGTGTGAGAGTGTGAGGGAGTGGGAGTGTGAGGGAGTGGGAGAGTGAGTGAGTGTGAGGGAGGGAGTGTGTGTGTGGGAGAGTGTGTGTGTCGGTGCTTCGTGCGAGCTTTTTCCCCTCAAACGAGAAATGCGAAGTGTTGGTGGTGGTGATGGTGGTAGTGGTCGTGGTGGTGGTCGTGTTGGTATTGGTGGTGGTGATGGTGGTGGTATTGGTGGTCGTCGTTGGTGGTGGTAGTTGGTGGTGGTGGTGGTCGTGTTGGTGGTGGTGGTATTGGTGGTGGTATTGGTAGTTGGTGGTGGTCGTGGTGGTGGCTGTGGTGGTGGGCGTGTTGGTGGTGGTATTGGTAGTTGGTGGTGGTATTGGTAGTTGTTGGTGGTGGTGGCCGTGTTGTTGGTGGTGGGCGTGTTGGTGGTGGTATTGGTAGTTGGTGGTGGTGGTTGGTGGTGGTATTGGTAGTTGTTGGTGGTGGTATTGGTAGTTGGTAGGTGGTGGTATTGGTAGTTGGTGGTGGTATTGGTAGTAGGTCGTGGTGGTATTGGTAGTTGTTGGTGGTCGTGGAGGTGGTTGGTGGTATTTGTAGTTGTTGGTGGTGGTATTGGTAGTAGGTCGTGGTGGTGGTATTGGTAGTTGTTGGTGGTGGTGGTTGGTGGTGGTATTTGTAGTTGTTGGTGGTGGTATTGGTAGTAGGTCGTGGTGGTGGTATTGGTAGTTGTTGGTGGTGGTATTGGTAGTAGGTCGTGGTATTTGTAGTTGGTGGTTGGTGGTGGTATTGGTAGGTCGTGGTGGTGGTATTGGTAGTTGTTGGTGGTTGTGGTGGTGGTTGGTGGTGGTATTTGTAGTTGTTGGTGGTGGTATTGGTAGTAGGTCGTGGTGGTGGTGTTGGTAGTTGTTGGTGGTCGTGGTGGTGGTTGGTGGTGGTATTTGTAGTTGTTGGTGGTGGTATTGGTAGTAGGTCGTGGTGGTGGTATTGGTAGTTGTTGGTGGTGGTATTGGTAGTAGGTCGTGGTGGTGGTATTTGTAGTTGGTGGTTGGTGGTGGTATTGGTAGGTCGTGGTGGTGGTATTGGTAGTTGTTGGTGGTCGTGGTGGTGGTTGGTGGTGGTATTTGTAGTTGTTGGTGGTGGTATTGGTAGTTGTTGGTGGTGGTCGTGGTGGTGGTTGGTGGTGGTATTTGTAGTTGTTGGTGGTGGTATTGGTAGTAGGTCGTGGTGGTGGTATTGGTAGTTGTTGGTGGTCGTGGTGGTGGTTGGTGGTGGTATTTGTAGTTGTTGGTGGTGGTATTGGTAGTAGGTCGTGGTGGTGGTATTGGTAGTTGGTGGTTGGTGGTGGTCGTGGAGGTGGTTGGTGGTGGTATTGGTAGTTGTTGGTGGTGGTCGTGGTGGTGGTTGGTGGTGGTATTTGTAGTTGGTGGTGGTATTTGTAGTTGTTGGTGGTGGTATTGGTAGTAGGTCGTGGTGGTGGTATTGGTAGTTGTTGGTGGTGGTCGTGGTGGTGGTATTGGTAGTTGGTGGTGGTGGTATTTGTAGTTGTTGGTGGTGGTATTGGTATTAGGTCGTGGTGGTGGTTTTGAGTTCCGCGTTGCGGCCTAATGGCCGCAAAGTGAAGCCTCCGACCTCGCCTAGAACCCCCGGCCGGGATTTAGAAGCCTCGAGGCGGACTCCCCCCCCGCCTCTCGCGGGGTTCACGGCGCTCGCCCTCAACGCAGACAAACGAACGCCGCCTTTGCCGTCCGCCTGATGATGCCCCTTGTAATTACTGCTGAAACGTCGGACTCGGATTGTAAATGTTGTTGTGGGTTTACTCTGCAACACACGCGGTTAGTAACGTACAACACACACCAACACACACACCAACACACACACCAACACACACACATACACACCACCAACACACACACCACCAACACACACACCACCAACACACACACCAACACACACACCAACACACACACCACCAACACACACACCACCAACACACACACACCACCAACACACACCACCAACACACACACCAACACACACACCAACACACACACACCAACACACACACACCAACACACACACCACCAACACACACACCAACACACACACCAACACACACACCAACACACACACCACAACACACACACACCACAACACACACACCACCAACACACACCAACACACACACACCAACACACACACCAACACACACACACACCACCAACACACACACACACACACACCAACACACACCACCAACACACACACCAACACACACACACCAACACACACACACCACACACACACACCAACACACACACCACCACACACACACCACACCAACACACACCAACACACACACCAACACACACCAACACACACACCACCACAAACACACCAACACACACACCAACACACACACACCACCACACACACACACCAACACACACACACACCAACCCCACACCAACACACACACCACCACACACCCACACACACCCACCCACCAACACACACACACCTAAACACACACCGACACACACACCCCCACACACACACCAACACACACACCAACACACACACCACCAACACACACCACCAACACACACACCAACACACACACCACCACACACACACACACCAACACACACACCAACACACACACCACCACACACACACCAACACACACACACCAACACACACACACCAACACACACACCAACACACACACACACCACCAACACACACCACACACACACACACAAGCACACAAACACACACATCCACACCACCAACACATACAACCCACCAACACACACACACCCCCAAAACACACCACCAACACACACACCAACACACACACACCAACACACACACCACCAACACACACACCAACACACACACCAACACACACACACCAACACACACACACCAACACACACACCACCAACACACACACCACCACACACACCAACACACACACCACCAACACACACAACAACACACACACAAACACACACACCAACACACACACCACCAACACACACACCACCAACACACACACACCACCAACACACACCACCAACACACACACCAACACACACACACACCAACACACACACACCAACACACACACCAACACACACACCACCAACACACACACACACACACCACCAACACACACACCAACACACACACCAACACACACACACACACACACACACACACCACCAACACACACACCACCAACACACACACACCACCAACACACACCACCAACACACACACCAACACACACACACCAACACACACACCACCAACACACACACCAACACACACACCAACACACACACCAACACACACACACCAACACACACACACCAACACACACACCACCAACACACACACCAACACACACACACCACCAACACACACCAACACACACACCACCAACACACACACCAACACACACACCACCAACACACACACACCAACACACACACCCCACCAACCAACACCACCACACACACCACCCACCCACACCCCAACACACACACACCAACACACACACACCACCAACACACACACCAACACACACACCACCAACACACACACCAACACACACACCAACACACACACCAACACACACCGACACACACCAACACCAACACACACACCAACACACACACCAACACACACCAACACAAACACCAACACACACCAACACACACACCAACACACACAACACCAACACACACACCGACGAAACAAAGACCCCCCATATAGTCTTAACAGACTGTAGGGGCAAGTGCTGTTAGCGAGCACCTATGAAGTCCAGAACGGCACACGAGGGGGTGGGTGGCCAGCACCACGCCCGGCCGCCTTTGTCTCTCCAGTGGCGATGTTTACCGCACCAGGTACTCATTTGAGACTGAGTCGACCCAAGGAAGGCCCCGGACCGGTTCAGACAATCGTCACTGATTTTAGCCGTGAGTGGGAATCGAACCCGGGTAGCCAGGTTCGTAGTGCAGCGCTAACCGCTGCACCACCGCTCCCACCCCCTCGTGTGCTGCTCCTCGCTAACAGCACTTGCCCCGACAGCTTGTACAGGCTACCTGGGGGGTCTTTGGCTTTGAGATAGTGAAGCGATGGCTGTGTTTGTAGGGTGTGTGTGTAGTGTGTGTTTGTAGGTTGTGTGTATGTAGGGGTGTGTGTGTAGTGTGTGTGTAGT